GAGAGAGAGAGAGAGAGAGAGAGAGAGAGAGAGAGAGAGAGAGAGAGAGAGAGAGCGAGACCAGCCATCCAGTTCTCTCGCTTGCTCTGCCTAGTAGCTGTTACACGTTAATACGTGTTATACTACTTACTAACAACGAGCAACGATCAATTATTAAGTTTTCAATTTGTGCACGCACGCACACGCCTAAACGACGCCATAGTTTCAGTTTTGCTTATTAGTATATCGTGGTGATTTACAATGGCTGTATATATGGGCTATTAACGACCTAGCAACGTAATCGTACGTAGATCTACGCCGTGCAATATATATATATATATATATATATATATATATATATACGCATACAAATATACATGCGCGTGTATACTGTGTTCATACTACCTTCTTTAGTTGTTTGTCAGCTGTAATGTGTTTTGGTTTGTTGTTTAGTTGAGAGACGTCCAGATCTACGGTGCATCGAAGATGATTTCCTCAACTGCTAGAGTCATGTTGCTGGCCCTCGTGCTAGTAAGTACAGCGGTGACCCTCTGTTAAAAACTATTATGACTATACGACTATATATCTCGGTTTGTAACCTAAACAGGCTCACGAGCAAATGTCCGAGTTCGGTGTCTAGTTATCAGGTCATTACATAATACTTGACACTTAATACTTAATACTTAACACTTAATGCTTAATACTTAATAATTAACACTTAATACTTTTACTTAATACTTAGCACTTAATACTTAATACTTAATACTTAATACTTAATACTTAATACTTAATGCTTATACTTAATACTTAATACTTAATATTTAACACGCTCTTGATAGTATCAAGAGTAGATAATAACACAATGTGTTATTATCTACTCTTGATAGTATGCAGTTAACATGTTTACATCATTTATCTGTTATCAGCATCTCTGTTTGTCCTTTCGCTTCCTCTTCCCTAGGTGTTGTGCACAGCCACCGTCCTCGCTGGCTACGGAGGTTACGGCCACGGCGGAGGAGGTTACGGCGGCTACGGAGGGCACGGCGGTGGCTTCGGGGGAGGTTTCGGCGGTCGTGGAGGCGGATACGGAGGATACGGCGGCCGGGGAGGAGGATACGGTGGTTCCGGAGGACATGGAGGCCACGGAGGTGGATACGGAGGATATGGAGGAAACTATGGCGGATACGGCGGGTCACATGGCGGTTACGGAGGCTACGGAGGCTATCACTAAACCTACCGACCATGCGTGCGTGAGGATGACTCGTCGGTGGTTTCTCGCCCAGTGTCGGACCGAACACACTGCACCTGCGTATACAGGGTTTTCGCGCAACATAGCAATGGATTTATGTGGTGATGGTTTTATCTGACGATGGTGTGTGGTCATGGTGATGGATTTATATGACGATGGAGTGTGGTCATGGTGATGGATTTATATGACGATGGTGTGAGGTCATGGTATCATCTAGTGATGGTTTTATCTGATGCTTGCTTCTTCTGACGAGAGCTCCACCTAGTGATAGAATCATCTGCTGATGGATTAACCTGATGATGGCTCCATCTAGTGATGTATTTATCTAGTGATGTCTTCATCTAGTGATGTCTACATATGGTGATGTCTACATCTAGTGATGACTTTATCTAGTGATGTCTACATATGGTGATGTCTACATCTAGTGATGACTTTATCTAGTGATGTCTACATATGGTGATGTCTACATCTAGTGATGACTTTATCTAGTGATGTCTACATCTAGTGATGTCTACATCTAGTGATGTCTACATATGGTGATGTCTACATCTAGTGATGGCTCCATCTAGTGATGCCTTCATATAGTGATGCCTTCATCTAGTGATGACTTCATCTGATACTGGCTATATATGGCGATAGTGTCATGTGATGATGGCTATATCTAGCGAAGGCTTCATCTAGTAATGGCTTCATCTGATACTGGCTATATCTGGCGATAGTGTCATGTGATGATGGCTATATCTAGCGAAGGCTTCATCTAGTAATGGCTTCATCTGATACTGTCTATATCTGGCGATAGTGTCATGTGATGATGGCTATATCTAGCGAAGGTTTCATCTAGTAATGGCTTTATATGAAGGTGATGGTTTCACATTTCCATAGTTTAATCTCGCCGTGATGCTTGTTGTTGCAAACTGCAAGGATACGACACGGTTTCAAATTCTCACCTGCTTTTTTTTGCATGCGTCAGCGACTGCGACATACTACGCAGCACCCGTAATCACTACCTCACTCTATTCAGTCCCCCGATCGTCAAAAACTCCTGCTGAAATTAACTCGCAGGAAAAAAATTACGAAAAAGAAAGAAAAAAAAGAATCGGATATAAACTCCACTGGATGATGATTATCCGTCTGTATTTTTATCGATTATTTATGTCTGGTCCGAACCGCGCGAGTTGTCGCTACGCTGCTAGAAGTGAGTGTTATAGAGACAGCAGTTGACGAGCATGGTAACCCAGGACACGGACGTTGACGATGACCACAGCAGGCCAAGCAAACCACCATCACCACGACCACCACCAGAAGCAGCAACAGCACCACCACCATAAACTACACTACCACTACCACCGACAACAGCAGCAGCAGCTACAACAACAAGAACAACAGCAGCAACAGCAAAGACAGCAGCAACAGCAACAACATCCACGACAGCGACAACAACATCAGCAGCTGCAACAACAGCAGCAGTAACATCAGTAGTAGTAGTAGTAGTATATAGTAGCAGTAGTAGCAGCAGCAGCAGCAGCAGCAGCAACAGCAGCAGCAGCAGCAGCAGCAACAGCAGCAGCAGCAGTACCAGTGCTATTACATTACTGCAACGAGTCACTTATATTACGCAAAAACCAACGTCGAGAAAATGATATTACGGTTTGTGTCTATTATTGATGTATCGACGAATATGATTTGCCGTTTACGAAAATATATAGAATGACTGTTTCAATGATTTGTTGTCTCGTTCCATTACAATACGAATATCTCTCTCTCTGTCTCTCTCTCCCTCTCTCTCTCTCTCTCTCTCTCTCTCTCTCTCTCTCTCT